TTATAAACTTTCATTTTTTTTGAAAACCATTGACAAAAGAACATATATTTGAACCTTTGATTCTCTTGGTTGTTTTCTCTTTCCTTTTTTTCTCCCATATTGAGTTAAATTTCACCTTTTTCCTTTTTTTTTTCTTTTTAATTAATGCCAAATTTCTTTCCTTTTTTTAAAGTTCAATGTGAAGATATAGTTTTTTAATAAAAATTTTGATTTATGGTCATTTTTTATTGTTTTTCGATCGACTCATTTTGGAAGAAGTGATTCAATCGGTGCAAAAGAAGTGATTCAATCGGCGCAAAAAAATAAATTAATATTATAGAAAAATGGTTCCTGAGTTGAGCAGTCCAATCGATGATGTTAGCATGAGGTAATAAAATTTTAAATCTCTAATAATTAATAAATTTCTAAAATAAATCCATCCAAATCCAAAATCCAAATAACACGATAACATAAATAAAATAAATCTAAAATCGAAATCCAAAGAATTTTAAGATTTTTATCATGCCATGTTGATATCACCGGTCTGACGATTCGGCACTGTTCCGTTGGTTCAACCCTAGGTAAATCCGGTCTAACTGCTATAATTTGGTTTAAGATTTACTCGAATTGGATAAGGGTTTGGTTCCAGGTCGGATTGGTATTGGCTAATTTGATCCGGTTCGGGTTTTAAAACAATAGCCTTAAAGTGGTGAAAATTAATTAAATTATCCTTGCTTTATTGAAGTCTTAAAGTGGTGAAAAGGTGATTAACTTTATAAACTTTCATTTTTAGCGAAAACCATTGACAAAAAGGGGACATATATTTGAACCCTTGATTCTCTTGGTTGTTTTTTCTTTCTTTTTTCTCTCATATTGAGTTAAATTTCACCTTTTTCCTTTTTTTTTTCTTTTTAATTAATGCCAAATTTCTTTCCTTTTTTTAAAGTTCAATGTGAAGATATAGTTTTTTAATAAAAATTTTGATTTATGGTCATTTTTTATTGTTTTTCGATCGACTCATTTTGGAAGAAGTGATTCAATCGGTGCAAAAGAAGTGATTCAATCGGCGCAAAAAAAAATAAATAAAATTATAGAACAATGGAAAGTTGTTGAATTAAGTATTAAACCCAGAAATGTTATTTTAATATTTTGTGATATTTGGTCTTTTATATTTTTCTCTCTAGAAGAAGCAACTTTATGGGTGGAAAAAGAAAAGTTATAGAATGACGGAATATTTTCTTGAGCCATCAAGAAATGATACCAAAATATACATTGATATACAGGAATAAATTATTTAAAGTAATTTATAATGTCAATTTGATATCAAGATAGTGTCATTTTAAGATATTAACTCAAAATGATAAAACAAACATATTGTTCATAAAATATTTTAATAGATCAAATGCATAATGGATAAAAGTTGGCTATTGTCATAGTATATAGCAATTTTTTTATTCTTATTTCATTAAGGGTATGTTTGGTACGACTTCTTCTAATAGAGCTTATAAAAGAAAAACTTAATTATTAGATTAGAGTTTATAAGAGTAGAGCTTTTATAAACAATTTGTTTGTAATTTGGTTAAAACTAGTATTAATTACCCAAAAAGACTTTAATAGAAGTAAATGGTAGGGGTTCGGTTCGGGTACCCTGCACTTTTAGAAGAACACGGAACCAACGGTTCCTTGAAATTTGGAACCAGAACGGAACCGACGGGTCCGGTCCTAGGTACCTAGAACCGAACCTGTAACAACAGTTTCGTTCCGGTTCTGGGTACTCTGTAAAATTACATTACCCCCAAAGTTTTTAAAATAGTAAAAAAAACTTTAAAAACTTACAAATACCCCCCACCTGGCACTTGTTAACAAAAATAAAATTACAAATTATAAATTCAAAATTACAAACCCATTACTTGTGAAAGGTAGATTCTCAAAGTCAAACCAACTTACTTTAAATGTTATGAAATATAAATAAATGTTCACATTACTTTTTCTACAAAAGTTTTATTAACCCCCCAATATTTAATTTTATTTATATTAGTCTCGGTTCCTAGTTCTTGGTTCCAGTTTCGGTTCCTAACTATAGGAACCGGAATGGAACCGACAGAACGGTTCCAAAAATTTGAAACCGGAACCTATCCATTGACGATTGGTTCTGGAAGGAACCGAAACCGAAACCGAAACCAAACCCAGGGTACCCACCGGTTCCGGTTCCAACCAGTTCTTTGAGACACCCCTAGTAAATGGTATCAAATATGAATAGAGTAAGGATATTTTTGAAATTTCAATAATTTAAATAAGCCCAGAAAGTGCTACAAGCCGTAAATTAACTTATAAGAACTTTTGAAATGTAACCAAATAGTCTAAATTTTTTTAAAAGTACTTATAACTTTAAATAAGCTTTTCAATCAATAGATTAGCACAACCAACAAACTAATAAACATTATATTCTTGTTGTTTTATATGGTAGAATTAAGTAACAATCAGCTTAAAATTGTAATGTAGAAAAGAGCAGCGGTAAAGAAATTAAGGAAGATTCTGTCAGACGGAATAAGTTCAAAATTTGAATTCCACAAGTTACTTCATCAAATCTTTTTAAGGGAATTTATAAGAAAACAAATAACCAACTCTTATTAAATGATAATGAGATATTTCAGTCTAATAAACTTATTTTGCAATCAACCGTCAATAAATTATGTTATCTGTCTTCACCTGCCTTGTGAATTACAATTTGAGGTCCTTAGATAGAAATACAGTCTTAATTTGATGTGGTTGTAATCAAGTAGGTAGACTTCTACCAATAAAATAAAAAGTTCAGACAGAGAAGAGCACAATTTGTGCTTTATCTACATAAATTAAGGTAAATGTTCTGTTTTGTCATAGATAGGTGAGCTCAGCTCTCTATTGTATTGTATTACAATAGACATGTTAGCTCCATGTTAATGGATGATTATTTATATGTTCCTAGTTATTCCTTTCCTTTTCCAGCATACATAATAATTTTAATGAATCATGTCATTGCTGACCCACACTTTTTATTTATGAGTTTGTAGAAACGTCATTTCTACATTGAGCTTTGCATTGTACAATCTCTGTTCTTGTCAAAGAGACATTTTTACATGGCTTTCATCATCTTCTTCCTCCATTATCCTTCAATCGAAAATATGAAGTGTTCCTGAGTTTTAGAGGAGAGGATACTCGTGATACCTTTACTAGTCATCTCTTTGCTGCATTGTGTCAAAAGCAAATTCAAACCTTCATTGATGATGATGGACTTAAGAAAGGAGATGATATTTCCCCTGCACTCACTAAAGCAATTAAAGAATCAAAGATTGCAGTAATTATTTCTCAAAAAACTATGCTTCTTCCAAATGGTGCTGGATGAACTTGTGGAGATTATTGAGTGTAAGAAAATGAATGGCCAAATAGTTATACCAGTTTTTTATCATGTAAAGCTATCAGATGTACGGAATCAAACTGGAAGTTTGAGGATGCTTTTAGAGAGCACGAACAAAATCTGAAGGTTATGCCAGCAAAAGTGCGAAGATGGAGAGCTGCCTGACTGAGCATCAATCTATGGGAAGGGCTTCTATGGTGATAAAGTGAGTTTGCCTCTTTTCTATATGTAAAACTTTCTATAGCTTTTACATAGAAAGGACCATGTGGTGCATGCCTTTCATTAGCTCTCCAAATATATGAAAATTTTACTTTAGTTATCTCACTAGCTTAAATACGATTAAGTTCATTTCTAATTTTCTGATATCTCTAATCTATCATGGCATTTTTTTTAACTCAGCATTTTCTTTTTCATATATGCTAGGCCGGAGTCTAAACTTGTAGCCGAGATTCTCAAAGAAATTTTGTAGCAATTGAATGAGCTATCACCCTCAAGTGATTGTGAAGGCCTAGTTGGAATAGAATCACGCATTGATGATATATATGAAATCATTATTACATATTGAGTTGCCAGATTTTAGAATAATAGGAATGTGGGGGATGGGTGGAATTGGGAAAACAACTATTGCCGGACTAGTGTTTAACCAACTTTGTAGTAAATTTGAAGGTTGTTGTTTCATTGCAAATGTTAGGGAAGAATAAAAAAGATGTGGATTGTGTTAGAATTTGAGATAGGTCTAACCCCTCACCCAAAAGGCCTTGTTGAATGGGAGGATTACCCCCTCTTATAACCCAATAGGCTTGAGCGTGCCTAGTCGATGTGGGACTCCAACACTCCCCCTCACAGTCAAGCCCATATGTTGGGTCATGCCTGTTATTAGAGGTAGTTGCTGGCTCTAACTCCTCACTCGCTGGTCAAACGCTTAGCTCAACTAAACCTGGGTTCTGATACCATGTTAGAATTTGAGGTGGGCCTAACTCCTCATCCAAAAAGCCTTGTTGAATGGGAGGATTATCCCCTCTTATAACCCAATAGGCTTGAGCGTGTCTAGTCGATGTAGGACTCCAACAGATTGGTTCATTTGCGAAATCAAGCTCTTTCTCAAATATTAGAAGAAAACCTGAAACAGGTTCTCCTGCTATACCTGCACCTGTTAGCAGAAGACTTTGGCACAAAAAGGTTTTAATTGTTATTGATGATGTAAATGAATTAGGACAACTAGAATTTTTAATCGGAGGGCTTCCTCAATTTGCTCCAGGAAGTAGGGTCATTATAACTACAAGAGATAAACAAGTGCTTTGTAGTTATAGAGTGTGTTGGTGAAAGGCTGAAAAGTGCAAATGATCAAAGTTAGAGGAGATGATTGTAATTTCTCATATGTCACTAACAAGCAACGGTGTCGTTTTGGAATTGTTAAGAGCAGTTGTCTTCTTCATTTCATAAGCTCCCTACTTTACTCTTTTACGTCTTTACTTTCTCTTCTTCGAAGCTCTGTATATAAATCCCTAACATTGTAATCTCATCATTTTTTTTTCTCAAGATTCAATAATATTGAATTCCCTTTCTCTTCATTTTTTCGATTTCTTTCAGTTTCTTCTCATGGTATCAGAGCCAAAGACTAACGTCAATGGCAAAAATTTCTGGAAACAATAGCTCTAACGAGAACTTTGTGAAGATGTTTGGCAGCTCAACTTCAGTTTTCTCGTCTAGTCTTCAAGTTGTCAGTCCGAAGCTAACAAGAGATAATTACAGAGATAATTATCGCTTCTGGAGATCGCAAATCTTATCAGCTGTCGGAGCTCATGATCTTGAAGAACGCTNTATATTTGAACCTTTGATTCGTTTGGTTGTTTTTTCTTTCCTTTTTCTCTCATATTGACTTAAATTTCACCTTTTTTTTTCCTTTTTTTTTTTTTTTTGAGAAATAAAGCCAAATTTCTTTCCTTTCTTTAAAGTTCGATGTTAAGGTATAGTTTTTTAATAAAAAATTTTATTTATGGTCATTTTTATTGTTTTTTGACTGACTCATTCTGTAAGAAGTGATTTAGTCGGTGCAAAAGAAGTGATTCAATCGGCACAAAAAAATAAATAAATATTATAGAACAATGGAAAGTTGTTGAATTAAGTATTAAACCCAGAAATGATATTTTAATATTTTGTTGATATTTGGTCTTTTTTAATTATTTTCTCTCTAGAAGAAGCAACTTTATTGGGTGGAAAAAGAAAAGTTATAGAATGACGGAATATTTTCTTGAGCCATCAAGAAATGATACCAAAATATTACATTGATATACAGGAATAAATTATTTAAAGTAATTTATAATGTCAATTTGATAAAACAGATAGTGTCATTTTAATGATATTTAACTCAAAATGATAAAACAAACATATTGTTCATAAAATTATTTTAATAGATCATATGCATAATGGATAAAAGTTTGGCTATTGTCATAGTACTAAGCAATTTTTTTATTCTTATTTCATCTAAGGGTATGTTTGGTACGACTTCTTCTAATAGAGCTTATAAAAGAAAAACTTAATTATTAGATTAGAGTTTATAAGAGTAGAGCTTTTATAAACAATTTGTTTGTAATTTGGTTAAAACTAGTATTAATTTACCCAAAAAGACTTTAATAGAAAGTAAATGGTAGGGGTGTTCGGTTCCGGGTACCCTGCACTTTTTGAAAGAACCGGAACCAACGGTTCCTTGAAATTTGGAACCAGAACCGGAACCGACGGTTCCGGTTCCTAGGTACCTAGAACCAGAACCTGTAACAACAGTTTCGTTCCGGTTCTGGGTACTCTGTAAAATTACATGACCCCCCAAAAGTTTTTAAAATAGTAAAAAAAACTTTAAAAACTTACAAATACCCCCCCACCTGGCACTTGTTAACAAAAATAAAATTACAAATTATAAATTCAAAATTACAAACTCCATTACTTTGTAAAGGTAGATTCTCAAAAGTCAAACCAACTTACTTTAAATGTTATGAAATATAAATATAAATGTATTCACATTATTTTTTCTACAAAAAGTTTCTATTAACCCCCCTAATATTTAATTTTATTTTATATTAGTCTCGGTTCCTAGTTCTTGGTTCCAGTTTCGGTTCCTAACTATAGGAACCGGAACTGGAACCGACAGTAACGGTTCCAAAAATTTGAAACCGGAACCTATCCATTGACGATTGGTTCTGGATAGGAACCGAAACCGAAACCGAAACCAAACCCAGGGTACCCACCGGTTCCGGTTCCAACCAGTTCTTTTGAACACCCCTAGTAAATGGTATCAAATTAATGAAATAGAGTAAGGATATTTTTGAAATTTCAATAATTTAAATAAGCCCAGAAAGTGCTACAAGCCGTAAATTAACTTATAAGAACTTTTGAAATGTAACCAAATAGTCTAAATTTTTTTAAAAGTACTTATAACTTTAAATAAGCTCTTTCAATCAATAGATTAGCACAACCAAACAAACTAATAAACATTATATTCTTGTTGTTTTATATGTTAGAATTAAGATAACTAATCAGCTTAAAATTGTAATGTAGAAAAGAAGCAGCGGTAAAGTAATTAAGGAAGATTCATTTCAGACGGAATAAGTTCAAAATTTGAATTCCACAAGTTACTTCATCAAATCTTTTTAAGGGAATTTATTAAGAAAACAAATAATCCAACTCTTATTAAATGATTAATGAGATATTTCAAGTCTTATTAAACTTCATTTTTGTAATCAACCGTCAATAAATTTATGTTATCTGTCTTCACCTGCCTTGTGAATTTACAATTTGAGGTCCTTAGTTAGAAATACAATCTTAATTTGATGTGGTTGTAATCAAGTAGGTAGACTTCCTACCAATAAAATAAAAAGTTCAGACAGAGAATGCACAATTTTGTGCTTTATCTTACATAAATTAAGGTAAATGTTTGTGTTTTGTCATAGATAGGTGAGCTCAGCTCTCTTATTGTATTGTATTACAATAGACATGTTAGCTCCATGTTAATGGATGATTAATTTATATGTTCCTAGTTATTCCTTTCCTTTTCCAGCATACATAATAATTATTTATTTGAATCATGTCATTGCTGACCCAAACTTTTTTATTTATGAGTTTGTAGAAACGTCATTTCTACATTGAGCTTTGCATTGTACAATCTCTGTTTCTTGTCAAAGAGACATTTTTACATGGCTTCTTCATCATCTTCTTCCTCCATTATCCTTCAATCGAAATATGAAGTGTTCCTGAGTTTTAGAGGAGAGGATACTCGTGATACCTTTACTAGTTATCTCTTTGCTGCATTGTGTCAAAAACAAATTCAAACCTTCATTGATGATGATGGACTTAAGAAAGGAGATGATATTTCCCCTGCACTCATGAAAGCAATTAAAGAATCAAAGATTGCAGTAATGATTTTCTCAAAAAACTATGCTTCTTCCAAGTGGTGCTTGGATGAACTTGAAGAGATTATTGAGTGTAAGAAAATGAATGGCCAAATAGTTATACCAGTTTTTATAATATAAAGCCATCAGATGTACGGAATCAAACTGGAAGCTTTGAGGATGCTTTTCAAGGGCACGAACAAAATCTGAAGGTTATGCCAGCAAAGGTGCAAAGATGGAGAGCTGCTTTGACTGAAGCATCAAATCTATGTGGAATGGATTCAATGGTGATAAAGTAAGTTTGCCTCTTTTATATATATAAAACTTTCTATAACTTTTACATGGTAAGGACCATGTGGTACATGCCTTTCATTAGCTCTCCAAATATCTGAAAATTTTACTTTAGTTATCTCACGAGCTTAAATACCATTAAGTTCATTTCTAATTTTCTGATACTTCTATCGTGGCATTTTTTTAACTTAGCATTTTTCTTTTTCATACATGCTAGGCCAGAGTCTAAACTTGTAGCCGAAATTATCAAAAAAAATTTGAAGCAATTGAATGATGTATCACCCTCAAATGTTTGTGAAGGCCTAGTCGGAATAGATGCACGCATTGATGATATGAAATCATTATTACATATTGAGTTGTCAGATTTTAAAATAATAGGAATATGGGGTATGGGTGGAATTAGCAAAACAACTATTGCCGGAGTATTTTTTAACCAAATTTGTAGTCAATTTGAAGGTTGTTGTTTCATTGCAAATGTTAGGGAAGAATCAAAAAGACGTGGATTGGTTAATGTGCGAAATCAAGCTCTTTCTCAAATTTTAGAAGAAAAACTGAAAACAGGTTCTCCCATTATACCTGCATCTATTAAGAAAAGGCTCCAACACAAAAAGGTTTTAATTGTTATTGATGATGTGAACGAAATAGGACAACTAGAATTTTTAATTGGAGGGCTTCCTCAATTTGGTCCAGGAAGTAGGATCATTATAACTACAAGAGATAAACAATTGCTTTGTAGTTATAGAGTGAATCACATATATGAAGTCAAGAGATTAAAAGACAATGAAGCTCTTCTACTCTTTTGCAATCATGCCTTTAAAACCAACCATCCAGATTTGGACTTTAAGGTGTTGTCAAGGACGATAACTGATTATGCCAATGGCAATCCATTAGCACTTAAAGTATTAGGTTCCTCCCTATATCAAAAGAGTAAACAAGAATGGGAAGGTGCATTCTGTGAATTAAGGAAAATTTCCAATCCCATTGTTTATAATGTGTTGAGAGTTAGCTACGATGGATTGAATGTAGAGCAAAAAAACATATTTCTAAATATCAATCATGTAACAGAAAATAGTTGTTACATCTCTTCGCAATTTGAACTTGGAGTTCTACTTGATAAGTCATTGATCTTTACAACACAATCTAATAGGATACAAATATCCTATTTACTCCAAGAGATGGGTTGGGAAATTGTTCGTCAAGAATCATTAACCGTGCCAGGGAAACGTAGCCAATTGTGGGATCATAAAGATGTATTTCATGTATTGAAGACGAACACTGTAAGTTTCAAATATTTGAGTTGTTTCTTCTACCAAAATTTCTATCAAATGATATTGAGTCACGTAATACTTGTATAAATTTTAGGAATTAAGATTGTATGTTTCATGCTAACCTACTCTTTTCTTTGGTATACATGAAGGGGACTGACGCAGTTGAAGGGTTGTTAGATATATCCAAAATCCCAGACCTGCATTTGAGTTCCAAAGCCTTCACAAATATGTCGAAGCTTAAATTTTTAAAGTTCTATGTACCTGGTCGGCATTTTGGAGAGTTGGTAAACATCAATAAAGTGTATCTTTCCCGAGGACTAAAATATCTCTCTAATGAATTGAGATATTTATATTGGCATGAATATCCTTTGAAAAGATTGCCATCGAATTTTAATCCGAAGAACCTAATTCGACTATCCTTGCCGTATAGTAATATTGATGGACAGTTCTGGGTGGATACAAAGGTATGATTTTGATTGTTAAAAATATTATTTAACTATGGGGAGATATAGATAATATGTTAAGTTTAATGATTTATTAATTTATTGGAATCATTTTCTTGTTTTACAGCACGGTTTTGGTTTCAAATTGTACAGCATTTCTTCACCTACCAATTATCTGGTCAACCTTCATAACTTGTATCTGAGAGGCTGTAAGAGTATTCAAAGATTTCCAAGTGACATTCATTTTGTATCGCTTGTCAGACTTAATCTATCGCAATGCATTAATCTCAAAGAATTTCCTCAGATTTCGGGGAATGTGAAATATTTATATTTAAATGGAACTGCAATAAACGAGGTACCCTCGTCAATTTCTCGTCTAACTAATCTTTGTGATTTATATCTACAATATTGCAGAAGGCTGAAAAGAATCTCAGCTAATATTTGCGAGTTGAAATATCTTTTTCGGCTTCTTGTTTCGTATTGCAGAGTTTCTACAACTCAATTACTATTCTCTCCCCGAAATTAGAAAGAAATTACTTGCTTAAAGTTATGTTTCTGCAATATAACAGACTTTCCCGAAGATCTGTGCAAATTATCCTCTCTGAAATGTTTAGATCTCCGTGGAAACAATTTTGAGCATCTTCCCTCAAGTATCAAGCAGCTATGTCAGCTGAAAAGTCTTTACCTACAGAACTGCGATATGCTTCAATCAATACCAGAGCTTCCGCTGGCACTAGTATATTTAGATGCTAGATCTTGCTGTCGACTCCAATCATTACCAAAGCCTCCATCAAATATAGAGGTATTGGATGAAGCGGAACTAGAAATAGTATCTGAATATTGTCTGCAACTGCAAAATACGGTAGATAAGTTTATAAGATTGAGTTTTATGAGCTGCCTGAAGCTGAATCGGAATGCAGACATTTTGGGAAATTCAGACGAGAGAATTGAACAAATGGCGATTTTAGCACTAAGACTCTGTTACGAAAAGGTTACTCTCTTCTTATGTCCCTCTCACTCGCACAATCTCTCTCTTATCAGATATTATGAATTTCATATTTCAGGTATTTGATAGAATACCTGGAGTCTTGTTATGTTTACCTGGGAGCGAAATTCCTAAGAGGTTTAGGCATCAAAGCTCAGGTTCAATTATAATTATTGAGCTACCTCAGCATTGGGATTATTACAATAGAAGGTTCATGGGATTCGCTTTCGCTGCTATTTCTGTAGTTGGGGAGAATGATGACGAAATCTCAAACGCGCTTGATATCTCATGTAATTACCGTTTTAAAGATAATTACGGTAACAAAGTTCGCTTTGGTTGGCATTGCGGTCTCAGCATAAATCATAAGAACTTGAATAATCCAGATCACATCATACTGGCATATCGTCCTTGTATGAATACTAGGCTAGTCGAGGATGGATATACAAATATCAGATTTAACTTCAGGGCAATGAAAGATGTACTCGGACAAAGACAAGTTTGCACAGTCAAAAGTTGCGGGGTTCATCCACTATTTCTAAAACCCAATATGACCCAGCCCAGCACCAGTGGAAGTAGAGGACCAAATGACGAAACCCCTGCCACTTAACTATAAGAGGAAGTTTCTTTTGATGGACTTTTTGTCTTTCGGCTTCTGGATCATGTTAAGGTTATTATCGACTGAATCTTAATTGGTTCTATTTTTTTTCTTTTTTAATTTATTTTAATTTCATTACTAAGTACTTCAATTTAAACAGGATAATGTTTATATTGAAGTTCTGAACTCTGAAGGTACAGCTTGTCTGGTGAAGTTATGAACCACTCCAAAAGTTACGAACTATGAAGGTACCCAGAAACTTTTTGTTATTATTCACTAGTACTTTTCTAGTTACAATACTATTGATTACCTCCTGCATGAGTGAGAAATTGATGATGGCTATTCCTTGTAACTCACGAACCGCTGCACATACTAGAAATTGATTTTGATGGCCAGGGCTAATTATTGCATCAAAGAAGATCATACTCGTTAATCATGCAACGTAATGTTACAATTGTACAACAGCTTAGTTTGGTTCAGATTTGAGGATAAACAAGCTGAATTGAGAAATAGCTATCTCTCTTTCTAAAATAATTGTCAATAAATCATTATTGATATAAGATTTTACTGACAATATTATAGTGTTCTCCTTTATCATCAACTTGAAACAGGAATTAAAAAAATTTGTTTTGCGGATTCTTGGTATTTGTCATTGCTTTAAACTTCTTAGATTTTAAAATTTTCCTCACAGGTTTGCATTGCTAAATTGAATCCAAGTTATGTGGCGGACTTGGATAATTATGTTCTTTGGCAGGATATATATTACTGTTGCTGATTTTCTTTAATCTTTTGTAGTAGCTAATTATTAAAACAATTTAAAAAATTTCTACATTTAAACAGCCAGGGAAGATGCATCAAATCTGATGAAAGCGATTTGCTTCTGAGAGTTAGTGGGCTGGAACAATTTCATTGGCTACTTATAATGGTAACCAATGTTTAAACTTTTGTTTCTACATAATTAACTTTGTTATCTGATATTTGAAACTAATTAAATTTCGCTGTCCACATATTGTAGGAGCTACATTCGACAAGCTGGATGCTCTGTTTATAATTGGATATTTTGATGGTTTTCAATTGTCACACTTACCAGGACAGCAGCAAGAAAGATTTCTTGTATCAATGAGGAGAAGCTTTTGGGTCTTTCTTGATTACAAGGGTGATTTTGCTTTCTCTGAGAAATGGCACAAGCTTCAGTGGGAGAGCGGTTCAATTTCAGTTTTGAAGTGCTTAAAACAACCCATATTGACCCGTCGCCGTAATGGATTAAGTGGTTAGAATGCCATTCTAAATTCAAAAACGTGTAGATCTACATTTACAAAGAGTATGATATGCTGGTACCTTAGCAAACTCGGAACTAATTCATCCAAATATTTATCATTGATGGGCCAATGCTCCAAAATAAATGAAAAGTCTCCTGCTCAAGGAGACTTGAGGTTTATCTGGGGTAAGTTTTTCTGAAAGTGTGTTTTTGTTTTTGCATCATTTTGCCATCGGCTTCTTGTTACTGTAATGTTTCATCTTTATTTGAAATAAATTACCTTTGGCGCCTTGTCGGTAACAAAGGCTTTACACCCCAAAAAAGAGTGGTGTAAATGTAGTATTACTAAAAAAAAAAAAGTTAAGAAACATGAAATGGCTTTGAATTCTAAAACTAAAGAGGGGCTGGAAGTAAACATGAACACGAGATGGTTTATGATTGTTGAAATAATTGTTTGTCAAATCTAACATTGTGGTAGTGCATATGTTTTAAGTGGCCCATGATATAATATTTGATTGTATGAATAGTATATGAGCTGATTGATTTTCTTAAATTTATTTGTAACTGGATTATAGTTTTTAAGGTTAATGTATAAACACTAATATTATGTAACTTCATTAATATATAGCTAAGCTTGCTAGATGTATAATTTGCACTTCAACTTCTGTTTAAAACTGTACGAGTAAAATGAGTTGCTCTGTTTTCCTCTATTTAATTTGTCCTTGTTTTAGACAAAATTTTGTCGATAGTCAGTTTTCTGCATTTTTACAAGTTGACTATTTTCAGTTAGTTGAGTAGTAATTAAGCTGAATCTGCATTTATTGAACTAATACGAAGAAGCCTGAAATAGACTTCCAATTTTACAAATTAAGAGTTATGGTTGTTGAAGGTTTATTTGGCTAAGATGGTTGTTTTCATGCATTTTCTACAACTCAAGTGATGGCACTTATAAGTCTAGTAGACAATATGCACCCAATTAACCCCAAAAAATTGGTCTAGCGATCGAGAGTGTTTGTTCTCTTCATTGACTCTTTGGATTCAAACCTTGAGGCCACTTATGATATTGTAACTTATCTATTGGACTTGTAAAATGTTCAATAGACCTCATAGATAATTGATGTGTATGCAAGCTAACCAATGTCACATTTTTATTACACAATCAAAGACGTTGGACATATACCTGCAATATAAGGAATAATTGTTGAATGTAGATTCAGAAAATAATCAGTCAAAAAAAAAAAATATATAAGCAGAAATTTTGCCAAAAACATGGGAGAAAATAGAGGAATGCCATAGACAAATTTGTTTCTCATTTGGTCAATTCTAGCACAATCCTGTAACTCTTATCTCAGCACTTCGGTTCACTTTTGGTCAAAGTGCAAACCTATGCAAAAATAGGCCTGTAGAAAGTACATTAGAAATACAATTCATCAAAGGCATGAAATAGGAAGAGTTTTGAATTAATTTCTAATAAAATTATAAAAATGATTATGATATTACTAAAAAAAAAAAAAATGATTCAGTGCATTAAAGCTTTGCCAATTGTATACAAATTAATGTAATATTTATATTATCTACATTAATTAATTTATTTTAATTTTCTGTATACAGTTTTCAATCATATTTATTTATATATAAAATTTATAAGTCATATCATTCGAGAATAATAATTTAACATCAAATTTGCATGTATAATGTTACTTTTTTTTAATTGATTTCATTATGTAAATACAATTGTGACAAACAATTACCTATGTAACAATTAATTTTAGAGTAATATTACACCAACAATCCTTTTTTTATAAACTTTTTTTCAAAACCCTAACGTGGCAATTCGCAATTGGTTAGCTTACAATTAATTAGTGAAATCTGTTGTGAACTGACCAATTGCGAGCTACCACACCAAGATTGTGAAAGAAAGTTTGTGAGAAAGTGTTATTAGTAATATAAAATAAAACATTCACTTGCTCAATCATCTGTTCTTTCTTATTTTTGGTAACTGAAAAAGTTGATCTACTAATTTTTCGTCAAACTTGAGTGCAATATTTATCCCTGAAATCCCAAAGACACTTTTACATTAGAAAGTGTGTCGGTTGAGTTATCGACGTAGTCTCTCCTACACTTAAGTCAGCTAATGATAATTACATATGAGCTTAATTGATAAAAGATGTTGATTAAATGTGATGGAATATTTTTAAAGAAATAGTGAATTTGTAAGAAAGTACTTAACATAACTTCTCATACCCATTTGTTGATCCACCTGTCCTTTATATTTGGCCTCAGGAATTTTTGGTTTTAACTAGCGTGCGTGCTCAACGTGACAGTTATGATTGTAACTGTCTGATCCAAGTTGTTGTGCAACAATTTGTTCGTAACTGTCTCAACATATTTTCCTTAACTGCTCTACATGCTTTGCTTGCCACAATTCAATTGTAGTGGCCTAGTTATGCTACAACTAACTTTCTCCCTTGGGCCTCTTTAGTTTTACTTGGGCTTTTGCATTTTAGGCTTTAGTGTTAGACTTGTGACCAGGGGCGGAACCAGCCTCTTTCTGGCCCACCCCCAAATTTTTTATTTTAAATATTAATATGTATAATTTATATATTTTAGCCCACCCTAATAAAAATATTAATGTATAATTAATTTTTATTTTGGCCCACCCTAGCAGAAATTTCTGGATCCGCTACTGTTTGTGACCCATTAACTCATTGAGCCCTTTTATCTTCATCATACAATTTTTAAAGGGGTGGAGTTATTGGCATCCCACTAGTGAACTAAAGAAGCCTCGTTTCTTAAGATACCCTATTTCCAAATTGTAAAATTAAAATGTTTTCTTATTGCATCTCACAAATTTCATATATGTCCTTAATTCCATTTTTTTATATACATTTTAAAAGAATTAATATTTCATTTCCTTCACTTATGCTATATACCTTCATCATCGTTATTTCGAAGATATAATTTTAGGTAATTAAATTGAAAGTTCAAAAAAATTAAGGCTAAAAAAAATCCTTACAAATGATCCCAATAACATAACAATAAATATATATGTGAAACAATTAAAAACTTACAATTAATATTACTTGTAATCTGATATATCTTACAACAATTTTTTTTCTACGGTTAGACTATCTCTTAACTAAAGAATGATTTGAATAGCATAAAAAAAAACAAAAAGTTAATGAGATAATAATGAAGTATCGAAAGTATTTGTAACGAATATGAAATTAAAGTTAATTTTAATAATCTTATATAAGGATAATTTGTCATTATAAATTTTATCAAAAAATGAGGCCTTTTTGGTCCATTAGTTAAGTGCTAATCACTACTAATAGATATGCTCTTTTTAAAGTTATAAGAGTCTCTTTAGTCTATGGTCCAAAAATAATTTTCAAAAACTAAAATATGGTTCAAATTTTTTATATATCTTAATATTTGAAAATCTGTTTAGTATAAAATTAAAAAATGGTTTCACGTAATAAACAAATATAAAACTGTGAAAATGACTTTTAATTGCTTTTTAAATTTACGCTAAATTTTAGGATTATATGCAAAAACTCTTTTTGTAAACCTTGTGAATCATATCTACTAAATACATTTTGGTAAAATTTGTTATATCATTTAAATTCAATATGAATATAACCACCTGTCAACAGCCCGTTAATCAAAATGGAAGTCCAAAATGTAATTATCTCTTTAAAACATTTTATCTATCGAACACCAAAGCCTTGTTCTCCACCTTCACCAAGAAACT